TACAGGTCCAGATTTCCCTCACTGGTTTAAGTTCTTTGGGGCTTCAGAGCAAGATTAGCCTAGCATGGTGTATGCTAGATACTATTCAACAAACAATTTAGTCCTGGATTTAATCACTGTGCTGGGCTTTATGGGCTTGGAAAATACAGGCTAAATGTTAAGGCAAGGGCTGGGGCTGTAGCTCCGTGGTAGAGTGCCTGCCTAGCATGCATGAGGCACTGGGTTCCATCCTCAGCATCCCATAAAAATAAATAAAATAAAGGCATTCTATCCATCTACAACTACAAAAATAATTTAAATGTTAAGGAGGAAAAGGGTCATAATGCCTGTAACTTATTTGCAAATATTTGCGGGGAGTGTAAAATGAAGATGCATTAATTAGGTGGGCTAATTTCAAAAGGTGGGAAATCCCCTAATAACACAGCATTTTGTAAACTATTTTTTAAGATGCTTTCCTTTGATCCTGGGTATGGCAGGAAGGTTTGCAAGTGGTTTCCTCTCAATCTTGATGTTTCCTCTCTTACATCCACACCCGTGTGTAGTGATCTTCTTGGCCAGACATGCATTTCACCTGGAGGACATCAACCAGGCCTCCCAACTTCCTGCCCCAAAAGCAGAGGGACTCATTCAAATGTCCCCATGACCAGTTCAACTGCCCATGCAGAGGGAGGCCCTCTCTGGATCCCCAGAGTAGCATGGAACTGAGATATAACTGAGTGGGAAGAGTGGGAAGACCCTGAATCAGGTGGGAAGACCTGCAACCTAGGGAGTCCCTGCGGGTCTGGCATTGCCCACCTACCCCCAGGCAACTGCAGCCACCAGAACCAACTGACGCTCTAGAAAGGATCCAGAATGTGAGGGGCCAAGTCTCTGCCATTGGCATTTCCTCCCACCGTGCACCCATGACAAACTGTTTCCTGGCAGGTGGTGGTGTGGAGGTGTTGGGAGGTTCAGCTCCTGCCCTGGATCTCTTCTTAGGAAAGCAAACCCCAGATACCTGATCTTGTGCTTCCATCATTAGAGCCAATTCCTTCAAGTTTTCTGCTGTCTCCAAGTTCCCTCTACTGGCTACAGGAAATATATCCTCCCATGATTTTAAAATTACAACCTCCCCCCCACACACACCATCTTAATTCAATCCCGAATATGAGCCTTGCAATCAGTTCAGATAATTCAGATAGACTTTTCCTCTCCACCAACTTTTCCCTGGGTGGTATCATATCTCGGTGGAGGCACTTGCTAGAGCTGTGAGGGAGGCTGTGTTATTTCCTTTGTACTGTTTGCAAGGCCCCCTGGGACATACCTGCCTGCCTACCTGCTCCTGGGCAATGTATCCAAGTGACTCCCACAAGGATCTGGGGCCAGGTACTTTGAGATCTTCTGGTACTTCCCTGTTGAAGCCCACCTGCTGCCATTTCTAACTTTCTCATTGTGCAATGTGGCTGCTGCCCTGTGATGGGTGCAAGTCACCCATGGAGGAAGGGTCCTAGAACATCCTCACTTTCCCAGGCTCCCTGCAAAACTAGCTCATCTGTCCTTGGATCCTCAGACTCATCTGGGGCTTCTCCTATAACCTTGGACTCAGCTCATGGACAGAGATAGTTGAAGGGCTCTTACATCTGATGTAAGTGGAATCCTTCTCCAAACTCCTCCTTCCCTTGTCTACTTGAAGAACATTTATCCAGTTCTTGTCCTAGGTGATTGGCAAGTGGGATTAGCAGGGTC